TAGTTATGTGTAATAACAATGAAATGATGGCAGCTTAAAGATGCCTCTCGTGTGGAGAATGACGTCACATGTAATGCTTAGGTGTGAGTTTTTCACAGACTTCAACAGAGTGTAAAAATCTTGATGCTACTGTTAGTCTCGTCTATCAAATCTGAGCCTTATCTTGTATTTTCTATAGGGCAGAGGGTTGCTGAATAACTTCTGAGAGATTTCAGCTTCTGTCTGAGCCTTCACCGCCTTTTTACACCAACCTTTCTATATGTGTTCAATACTTTTTCCCTGTGTCATTTTATTTTATTATGCATAACTTCTTTTATAAAAAAATTTGATTTGTTTTCTTTGCATATATGGATTTCTTTGACTGCTATCATCATCAGGTGATAGAACAATGGTGACTTGATAATACTTATTCCCCGCTCTATATCACAGTTAATTTTTAATTGGTAATGTGCATTTCTAAGAACTTAATTCAGACAACTTTAAAGACACACACACACACACACACACACACACACACACACACACACACACACACACACACACACACACACACACACACACACACACACACACACCATACACACACACACCACACACACACACACACACACACACACACACGCACACTCCCAGTGAGTTGTTTATCTGACAGACAATTTCACCACACACCCATGCCACCAACACTCCGTCAGCTGACAAGGCCACTTTACTTTTATGGTTACTTTTCATTTACAAGTAGCAGATGTTTTTATATAATGTATATACGTACTTTTACCTCGCTTTTTACAGGGTTTTCAATAACTGTACATTCCTCATTTGTTTGACCTTAACATTTACATGTATACAGAAGATGCTTTTATCAAAATCAGCACACGGTGAATGTAGACCTTACATCTGATGCATTAGAAAATGAACCAATGACCTTGACGTTGTCAAAACATAAAAAGGAAAAAAAGTGTAAATAAAATTGACTGAAATATTGTTTTGTTGGTAGAAATATTGGCTCTGAAAGAAGAATTTGTGGGATGGTTGGATGGATGGGCTTTATTAGCAGAACTTTAGATAAATGGATGAATGGATTAATGATAAATAAATGGATGGATGGAAAGGGTTTATTTGCAGAATTTTGGATGGATGAATAAACAGATGTGCTTTATTTGCAGAACTTTGGATGAATGGGTGAGCTTTATTTACAGAACTTTGGATGGATGGTGGACTGATGGATGGAGTTTATTTACAGAACATCGGATGGAAGAATGAATGGATGGGCTTTGTTTGCAGAACTTTAAATGGATAGATGAATGGACAGGGTTTATTTGCAGAGCTTTGGGTGGATGGAGAGAGTTATATACATAACTTTGGACGGAGGATGGATAGATGGATGGATGGATGGATGGATGGATGGATGGATGGATGGATGGATTTTTTTTTTTTGCAAAACTCTGGATGGATGGGCTTTATTTGCAGAACTTTGAATGGATGGATGAATGGATGAGATTTATTTGCAAAACTTTGGTTGGATGGATGGATTGATAAATGTGTGGGCTTTATTTGCAGAGCTATGGATGGATGAATGGATGAAGGGGTTTATTTGCAGAACTCTCAATGGATGGATGAATGGATAGATGGGCTTTATTTGCAGAACTTTGATCAGACGGACGGACGGACGGACGGACGGATGGACAATAGACAGACAGACAGACAGACAGACAGACAGACAGACAGACAGACAGATACTGTAGATAGATAGATAGATAGATAGATAGATAGATAGATAGATAGATAGATAGATAGATAGATAGATAGATAGATAGATAGATAGATAGATAGATAGATAGATAGATAGATAGATAGATAGATAGATAGATTTTTGTAAATCATAAGGTGATATTCTGAAATGTATTACTACATGAAAGTAGCCATTTAAACACAAACTGTCTCGCACACTCAAAGAAAAGAAAATCACAGGAGTGTTTGAAAGGAAATAAAGTGACGCTTCTCACACCTTTGTGACTTTGGTCCATCTGCACTTCCTCTTGAGGGAGAGAAAATAAAGGGATTTACAGGAGGAAGGACATATTTGAAATGCTGCTTCAAACAAACTGCCCCAATTAATCATTCGGGCCAGAACATCTCGCTTCCAATCAAGGCTGAGGCTTGAGCTCTATTACCTCTAAAAGCAATGTGACCCTCAATAAAGAGGATGAGGCCCACTGAAAATAACCAACACAGAGGAGACAGGCCTTTATTTCTTTCATTATATCCAGAAGGCAGGAGGCTGACTCAGTTTTTTTTTTTTTTACAGTAGATACGGTGGGCTGTTAAAACACTGTTTAGAGAAAAAGGGATTAAACAGTCTTGGTTAAGAGGAAATGAACACTGATCTTTGCCACAGTGTGGGCAACTTGCATCTTGGTGTTTTAAAAATATTAGCGAAAGTGAAAGTTCACCCAAGGCTATTTTAGTAAATGAAAAGTTTTAAACTATTGATCAAAAACATTATTTAACTGAAATCACATATAAAATTCACAATGAATGAAAAATTAAACAAAACTATCAATGGTCACTGAAGATTTACTGTAACTGACATGAAATATAAATAAAAAAATAAATAATGTTTAATGTTTTCAGGATTTATAAGCACCCGTTCTATGGTGGAAAGTCTGATCCTAATCTGACCCAAAACACCCCTTGAGGACATTTTTACAGCCAGACACATAAGTCCAGTGCATGATTATGTTCTTTTTTTCATTTGTCATTTTTTTAAACTAAGTATGTAAGAAATACAGTAAACTTACAAAGTCTGCCATGTAAATAGTGAATGCACATTGCACGACGCAACTGACTCTTAAAAGGAATGAGAGATGAGACTGATAGGTTCAATGCATGTTATGCTTAAAACACAACCATAACTCATTAAGAGAATGAGTACCGCCCTGTTAAACCATTTGCTAGTGTGCTGAGCGTAAAATAGCAAAAGTGTGTCTAATTGCATTCTCTATTCTAAATAGAATGGACGGTTAATGCAGTTAACACATTCAATCAGTACACTTGGGCTGCACACATTGGTTAACATCTATAACTCCAGTTACACACAGTACAGTCCATACTGTAACAACCATCTTAACAAAGTGGATTCAGACACACCCTTGAAGCTAAATATATAACTAAATATATACAAACTAAATCAAAATGTGTTCACAAAATAAAAACGATCCTAAAAACAACAAAACCCTTATTGTAATTTAATAATGTAACAGTAATAATACTACAATAACAACAAAAATATAAAATAATTGTATTGTCTTAAGTTGTAAAGAAATATCTTGTAGTTTTATATTTTCAAATTTCTAAGTTATATTCACTATATACAAATATATGCATGCAATGATGCAATATTATTGATTAGAAATACTTGTTTACTTGTTATAATTATTTATCACATGATAATATATTTTATAAAGTAGTTCATTAGGCATTATGCATGAATTATAATGTATTAAGAATAACCAACTAAAACCAAATTAAAGTGAAAAATGTAATCAAATTTAAAAGTAGTACAGAAATGACGTTTATTTTAATAAAAAACTGCAACCCAGGCTCATTCTGAAAACATACCGCTATATACATTTCTGGAGAGCGCAAAATACATCCCAGGACCTATGTTTTTAGGCCGTTTTTGTTTTCACGAATCCACCAGAGGCAGCTGTGTATGCTTTTTGAGATCTCAAATTCTTCTAGCGCGAGCCATTCATGCCTGCTGTTCTATTGTAAATCCACCAGAGGCTGCTGTCAACTGACTGACTGATCCACCCTCTTTCTTTCCTAAACCCAACCAATAGTGTTTTTAAAAGCATAGATTGACCTTTTTGTCTTACACACGGTAGGAAACTGTTATTTGCTGGAATTGAACTCTGTCATCATGGTCAACTCCTCTCTGTGTCTCAAGTTAGCCGACGTACATGGCGAGCTAACAGGACAAACTGGTAACTGCAGGGAAGCCATCCACACAAAGGTAATCGGTCAGCTGGTAAGCCCAAAAAGGAACGGCATCATACCACCCCGTAGGTTAGTTTTAAAGATGAAATGCAGCCATATATACTTCTGGCTATAATTCCAGTCTGCAAAACTGTATATAAGGCTGGGTTTTCAGAATGAGACTATGTTGAAAAAAATGCATTAAAATAACCTTGGTTTGCGCCTTTTTAAAATTTGTACAAATCATTTTTATGCTTAAGCATTATTTACTCAATAGCTAATAGAAACACATAGATTTGAAACAAGTGAAGGGCGATGACAAGCAAAAGATGACTGAACTTTCATTTTTAGGTGAACTAAGTGATAATTACAATTGATAGCAATCAATTTGCATTGATGTGTGTGAATAATAGAGTGGCTGGCGTGACTGCTCTGAAATTTGGAATAAACATCAATGCACAAAGGTTGTTTTGAGTTTTTAAAAACATCTTTTTAATCAAACTTTCAGAAAGCAGTTCAAAAGCATCATGAATGCCTGCATTCTTTCTTTGAGACCGAGCGGAAAACTTTGATTAATCAGCGACGTGACCCGGGTTTAACACTTGAAAAGACTTTATTACGCAAAATATCTCCTATTCATCCATTTTAATAAAAAAGGGGGTTGAAAACATCCCTTAACTGAAAAACAGACAGCACTTTCTTTTGTGTTGATAATTAGCTGAAAACCAATTTCCATCTGAAGCTGCCGAGGTGAACTCTTTTGCTGATTGACACAAAGCAATCTTATAAGAGATGAAAACAGTTGTGAGGTCACGTAAAAAAAAAAGTTAGGCGATGTAGAAAAAAAAACAGTTTGAAACGTAAAGTCCTAAATTAATGAGGGCAGGAGTTCACTTCAATCTAATTACCAGGTGTTTTCCACAAGCTACATTAACAGCAAAATAAAACATAATGGATACCTTTGACTTCAGCAGCGGCTGCTGTTCGACTGGCTCTGTGTGTGTTGTTTATCTGCTGTCTCTGAGTCCCCTAGCCTCCACATTGCAGGCGCTGTGAGGACCAGACTGAAGACACACAGCATGCACAATGAGGAGACCGGAGAACCCCTTATTGGACGCCTGCTCGGTACTGAGATTGCAGTTTAATTGCATTACGTTTGAACTGAAATTTTAACTGGTCATTTTCTCGGAACACTTTATAAATTTAAAAGGGGGTTCATTTTTAATGACTTCCCTGCGGTCACTTGTTTTATCCCTTAAAATTCATCTGTGATAATCAATGAAAAGCATTTCTTTATGTTTAAACTGACTTGAATATATTTCTACACCCTTATCTCATTTACAGCAGTGTTTTCCAACTACGCTCCTAGAGGACCACCCGCTCTGCACATTTTCCAAGTCTCCTTAATCATACAGTACACACCTGATTCAGATCATTAGCTCACTATCAGAGACTGTTAAGCTGCAGTCACACTGCACTATTCTCTCCATAGACTTTCATTCATACATACACTGATGCGTCAAACCGGAAATGCAAGCTCGTGCGACAGGTTTCGCAGTTCGCTGCGTTGGAAAGTTCAAGCTTGGTGAACTCAGACCTGCGAAATAGCATCACATCATTGCGTGAGACCAATAGAAGACCAAAACATGACCTCTCTGGACAGGAATTATAAACATGAACCAATTGCTTGCATATTTTAATGTTAATTACATCTTGTGTAATCCCACCCTTTTTTGCAGCACCGTACAACGGAATTTTACACGTATAAATTCTAGTGTGACCACAGCCTAATGGGTGTAACAGATAAGAAAGACATCCAAAACATGCAATGTTGATGGTTTAAAAGGAACGTGGTTGAGAAACACTGATCATAACAGCATCTTGAACTTTGAATATTCAAATTAGTTCTCACCTCCACTTTTAGTTTAGATTAGTTTATCTGCTTCGTTTTCACTCAGTTAAAGTTAAGGCAAAATGTGATCAATTTGGCCATATTAGACTGAACAAGAAACTGAGCACAAAGAACAAGAGGAGAACATCATGCCAATCAATCAAAACATTTCTATCTTTCAGAAATCTCATTTCCATTTATTATCTCGGACAACTACCTTACAAATCAACATTCTTACACTGAAAAAAATTATTCAAAGATGATTCCTTGGATTTACTCAATTTTTTTTACGTTAAGTGGTTGTAAACCATTTATTTGGACTGAATTTAAACAAACAAATTAGGTTGAACATTTTTTAATTAAATTTGTTTGTTTAAGTTCAACACAAATAAATTGTTTGCAACAGTTCTGCATGCAACACTTTTTTTCAGTGTAGGTTAAGACAAAATGATCAAAAAGTCAGTGAGAAAGGCATACATTCATCTTTAAAAACACCATACAAATCTTTTGTTTATTGCATTTTTAAAAGTGACGAATGTAAGTTTGACACCCAGTGGTTGAACTAGGTATTGCACTTCAGGATCAAAACTCATTTTCACTCAGCTCCTCTGACGAGTCCGCGCAAGCGCAGGTTGCCAGATTGATGTGAGTGTGCTTGACTATCAAGCCTAAAGGCTGATTTGAACTGTTTTATAACTAAAAGAGAAGGATAGAAGAAATATTTACCATTTTAAAAGTTTTTGTCCTAACCAACACCTGAAATTTATATTTTAGAAACGGCTTCTATATGACAATGATCACCTCTGCTACACCTCGTGTGCTTTATTCAGTGTTAAATGCAATGATGTGAGTTTGAACACCATTTTACTACACATTTATTGCCATACTACAGAAAGCAGCAACAGTTCACCTCAGATCTTGAAAATAAAACTGTTTGAAATTGACCTTCTGAACTTCAACTCAGTGCAAACCCTCACATATCAGTCATTCAGCATATACATTTAATAATGTTAAAGAGGTTTAATATATACTAATAAGATTGTAAACCTTACTATTTTGCTAGAGTGCAGTGAGTGCACTATTCTGTGCTTCTGCATGGCTGTATTTAAATTTTTGTTTTTCATCTAATGCAAACAGCCAAATTGCTTATCACTGCAAATCTTGTCAGGTTGCATGTTGTTGGGACACAGTATTTCAATATAACCTGCTCATCTAATGGTTACTTTCGTAATATTTATATTATTTGCTAATTAACCACCTCATGTGGAAGTCTGAATATGCGTAATTTTTCGGAGGCTGTTACTGTCCACCGGTGGTCGCATTTCAGTAGTGAGCACCTGCTTTGAGAGCCTTTCTGACTGAATGAGTCAAATACGCTGTTTTCCATGAAGACAACACGGGGAATATTAAATATAATTGGCTATACTGGCAGTGGGCGACTTACCTCTTAACATTTTCAAAGCAGAATATCTGACTTTAGCATTGCTTTTCAGATAAAAAAGAATGTTCACACACGTTTCTCAAATATCTGCAAACATATTATGGTATTTTTTAGCTTTAGTCAAAAACTTACAAACAGCACCTTTAGGGGGGAACTGTTCATAAGTGGTGCTGATGAATTTGCACATACTTTAATGCTAGGTTATATGCTAGACAAACAATGTAAAAACTTGATTTTCTTTCTTTTTTTTTTTTTACCAGAGGTGATCAATAAGTAATTGTTCAGATAAATAAAATTCTTAATTTCATGGCTCAAATCCTGCAAAGTGATGATGCTGGGAAACTCAATCTTCATTTAATTAATATTGTCTGGAATGGCATTTGAGAATGTAAACCTAATGGAAAGACCTTCAAATAAAAAGGTCAAACGGTGCATTACCTATAGCATGTTCATGGATTCAAACAGTCATTGTGGATGACCTTCAGAAAAAGCTTTGATTGGCTCTTAATGTCTATTAATGTATTTGCGCCAACACATACTACAAAGCCACATAAAGGTCCTTCCGAAGCAATAAACGAGAAATACCATGAACAACGATGACCATTCTTTTCTAGCAATACATCTTCTACTCACATTAGCACTAAGGTTCAGTTCGCAGTTTCAAATGGGCCGTAAATTAATTACGACATGCTCGTTTACCCATGAGTTCCATTAAGCGCATAGTAAATGAATCAACATTCGATTCAGTAATGGATATCTTTGCGCTCAACCTCCAAAGGTCTTGCTATTGAACGTAGCAGTGTGCAATTACTTAGAAACATTATGTCTATTTAAATGTCTTAAATTGTGCTATCGCAGAGACACAAGTCAAAACAGGCTTAATTTCACAGCTTGTTTTCCTTCACGACCTCAGGGTGTTGCTTGATGTGACATGACAATTATTGAAATTTTACTTTTTAATTGGAGGCCAGTGTCACTCTAGTCAGTGTTGACCTGTTATTACACTCCAAAATAAACTCACCCACCTTTTCCTCCCCGAGTGAGCACTTAATACCACAGAAAGGCAGAGGTTATTGATTTATTCAAGCGTGTTTAGTCCACCTACAGTAATGTTAACTGCATCAATGGGTTCAACTTTGCTGAAGTGTTTGCTCAAATTTTTCAGTACAAGCAGCACATGAAACAAAGTCTAGAGGTGTCAAACAAGCCAATTACTTGCTGAATTTTAAGCCTGTCTTAGTTTAAAATAAATTATTTTCTAAGAGTGGTCAACAAACACATAAACAACCTTCAATTTTCCATGTTCTAAAAAAAATTGGCTTCAGATGTCTCTTGTTGTCTGTTATGTCTGTAGGTGTGGATAAAAGTTGACTGAAATAAACTGAAGAAAAATTGACCCATGACAACCCATGGGAGCGTGTAATTGAGATGAAACTCCCATGAGTCACTTTTACCGCCTCAACCTCTTACGCCATTCGTCTACCTTCGCTGACCTTCTGGAACTTTCTGCCACTTCTTCATGCAGAGATCAGGCCAATCAATCTGACACGCTTGCACAGCAGAAATAAGTCAACCGCACATCAGAAAAATCAGAGAAAGATCTGTGCTTCAGTTTTGGTGCACGGTCACCTTCTTGTGTGCCTTTTTCATTCTTTCTGTTTGAGCTGCTGTCAAACATTTCAGAATGGAGACAGCTTCAACGCCTACTCAGTCCATGGGCAGCTTCACACTGACACTCCAACAACTAATGAAAGCCAACAGTGAGCTGTCTTTGCTGATAACTGAGGAGCCCAAGAGGGTTTGAGCACAACAGGTAAAGGGAACATCTACAGCAGACACATTTGCATGTACAGTATATATATGTGTGTGTGTGTGTGTGTGTGTGTGTCCAACAAAACACAATCAGAATTCTCTCTGAGAGATGTCACTGATTGTTGGAGCCTGTGGATTCGAAGGTACTTACAGAATCTGCAACCTTTAAACCAGAGTTTAAACACCTCATGGGGCCACGAAAGGATTCGGAGGGGGTCTGTGAAAAAAAAAAATGATGTCGTTAGGGCTATCAAAGTTGATAGTAAAACGGCAACGAATTATGCAGTTTATATATATTAAAAAAGTTTTTGCGAAGCCTGCTTATAAAGTGCTTTATACACAGTTAATTTAATGCATGCAAAATGCCCTTTAAATTGTTTTATGATATGATAAATATTTATAACAACAGTTTAAAGACTAAACAAGTGTACTTATTAAACTGCATTGATGCATGCATAATTGTTTATACTCTATATTTGTAAATAGTGAATATTATGTAGAAAATTTAAAAAGATGAAACTAGTTATTTATTATAACTTACAATTGTTTATTTTTTTGTAATTAATGCAGTATTATTACTGCTATATTATTATTTTTAATTAAATAATAAGTCACATTCCAATACTGGTTTTGAGGAATTATGTAGGGCTGCATGATTTGGAGAAAAAAATACACACACACACACACACACACACGCACGCACACACGCACGCACGCACACACACACACATATATATATATATATATATATATATATATATATATATATATATATACACAACATAAAAGAGCTCCAGGTTTGATGTGGTGGTTTTAACAGCACCAAAAAACAAAAACAAAAAAAAACACACAATCACAAAGTGCGCTACACTATGCTTTTGTTTATTTAAGACCATTTTTTCAAAGTTTTCAAGTTTGTCATGACTAATTAAGAAAATATCTACGCTACTTTTAATTCAATT